TATCTCGTTTGCGATGTTCAAAAATCTGGGATCCCGTTTTATTTTTAAAAGGAGAAAAAATCAACATCACTCCTTGAAGTTGCCGCAGAATTTTCCTTACCCTGAATAGAGAAATTATGAAAATTTTCAAGAATTGACGTTGCGGCTTCAATTCAAATATTTAGTATGGCAGGAAGTCAGAGACGTCGCAAACCGATATACGTGGTTTGGTAGTTTGACCATCGATGCAGACTGACACATAGGCAGATCTGCTGAGACCATGTGCTGATTGGACGTATTTCAGCCAAACGGAACCATGTGCATTATGACGTGAGCCCTGTTATGCACATATTCTTATGGGTCTCAGGGCTCATGTCTTAATGCACATAGTTCCGTTTGATAGAAATAGGTACGTCCAATTATTAGCTGAAAGTTATCACCTGACTAAGATCTTCCTCTTATCTGCACCGGAAATGTGAAGAAATATAGAAATTGAATCTCTCAGTTTAACGACAGCTTTAACCACTGATGTGGTTTCATCTTTTGAAACTGTTCAAGAATCTTCAGCCTGGCTAGAGGAAACCAGTGACATTATCTTACAGTATCAATCACAAAATTCTGCGAAGGATTGACTATTGAAACGGCAAATCCTAGGACCTTGCAGGAGTTTCAATGGCCGAATCCGCGAATAATACCTAATCAGATCGTGAGCATACTGACCGCGACGCCGGCGTGAATGAGCATGACCCGACGCAAAGGATGATAGTCTGTTGACCGGGTCAATAAGGATAACTTAATAAGGATTGCCAGATCTCTGTCGGGTTCGTCCTAGGTTCTGTTACTCTTTACGGAAATATTTCACACAACATGAGAGCTCAGATGGTCCGGGCAGAGATATCGACCGCGAGGTCTTTGGTCCGCAAGGCCGGGAAGAGGATCTTTGCCAGCATCGCACGGGGTCCAAGGAGGCTGCTGGGATTACCCACGTGCCCATGTCGATCTAATGATAGTGCGAAAAAGCACAATGAAATCAAATGCGCGTATGCCCTGTTGACCGTGACATCGGAGGGTCACATCCCACCGGCTCATCTCTGCAAGGAAGCGACTGATATAGAGTAGAGTGCCATTTAAAGAGTGGATGACCACTGGAAGATTAACCTCAGCGAGCTGATTGTTGAAATTGATAGACAAAGCTATAGACAAAGGAGACAAGAGAGACATGAAAGAATCCTATTGGTGGAAGCGGGTGGTTGCAATGGACAAAGAAGTAGGTAATAGATTAACTAGCGGTATCCCACGAGAGATCTAATAGTTAGTCCATCATTTGATTCCTTAGCCCACAGGAACCAATCCTTTTAACCAATAGGATTGCTCCATAGTCCCTAAGCCTTCTTTGTCTATAGCTTTGCCTAACAACTTCAACAATCAGCCCGCTGGTTGACTCAACCATTTTGGGTTTCATGGAGCTCTAAGGATCCGTTCATAAATTACGCACAGCTATAGGGGGAAGTAGAGTAGAGTACCTACGTAGAGCGGGTACGGAAACGTAAGTACTATGGATTAACCATAGGGCCCAAAAAGGCAGCCAATCTTGTGACCCAAAAATGTCACTCCCAATCATCAGATTCCAATATCAAACCAAGATGAACAAGAATGCTCGTAAAAGACCGTTCTTCCGCAAAAATGAGTAGGTTTATGCAAAAAAATAAGTCAAATAAATGCTTCAAAAACGACGGGTTGTACAAATTGCTATAATGAATCACTTCGAATAATTTGAATTCATATATATTGACTCCTAAATGCTCAATGACCTAATCTTAATATTACCGACATGTCCTTATTCATTCTAAAGGTACTCTATGGCGGAGAGGGGGGTGGGTCAAAAATGTCGTAAAAGTACATCACATAATTTATGAGCTCTAGGGATACAAAATTATGTCGGACATCGCGCGCAGATTATTTACAAGTGCACAAAATTAGTTTTTATATTTCCTTTCATTTTAATGTCTAGGAACAACTTCCCTGAGAATAATTTAAAGTACCTAAAGACACTGAATTATCAACATGCCCTATGAGTTTCCCCGGAGGCATGGTTTCTCTTGATCAGCTCCCACATCTCATGAACTTGTGAAATTAATCATGAGAGCAGCACCGACAGTGGCGTCGATAGATTTTGAACGTATATATTTTGGAGTACTATTCGCCTTCATACTTCGTGGATGCAATCGTGACAGCAGATTGGAGCGGAAGGACTTCAGAGTTCAGACTGATGTAATAGCGAAGAGAGCAGGAAGTGCGACATTCGAAATCGAGTTTCCTTCAAAATTCGTTTAATCTCTTTCAGATGAAATAGCTAAAACAGCAATATTCATCTGAATTGTATAACAACAAGACATATGAGAAAGCCGTATGTGCAAAAAATGACGTAGTTTCACGCAAGACGTGCAGTAAGTGACATTACTCCTCCAGAGAACCAATGAAAACAGTGCTTTCAAGTTAAGTGTCGCCCTTCTCTGCCAATTTCACAATTTTGCACAAAGGATCGGGTTAATGAGAGAGGTCAAACATAATGCAGGAACTTTAAATGCTTATCAATAAATGCTTGCAGCTTTCAAAGCGGTTTTACCAATTATTTGTTGAAATTTCTTTTAAGAAGAACCCCTTTCCTCTGAAATAGTATAATGTTCAAACAAGCATGATATGGGATACATAGAGGAATAATTGATACTCAAAAAAGCAACCAATAATGTCAAAACTGGAGCATCTTTCCAGCATGAGCATCTCATTATTCTGTGCAGTCTTGCAGGGTAGCTTTTAAAATTATTCAAAACTAGCTTTTAGGGTAGATTCTATGCATTAAAAACGGAGAAAAAAGAAGAAAAAAAATACTTAGATGTTAAAAAGAAAAGTGTGGAAATGTAAGAAACTCGATGGAAGTGTTCTATGTGCGTTGCAATTTGGAAGCCAGATTAATCCTAATTAATACAATAAAATCATAACTCAAAAAAAGCTGTAAAAAGGAAAACAGTTGGTAAAAGGTTAGGTTGGTAAGTACTTAAGTTACCCTAAATTGAGTACAAAATAAATGACCGGTAGGTAATTTCCAAACACACTTTTGATGCACAATGATTGGTACGTGCACCTTTAATTTAAATGGAATAAAATAACACGCACTGAAAAAAAAGTTACGGGCTATACAGACATACCGTCCGTTCCGGGCTCAGAGGCTGAAGGTAACGGGTGCTGGAATCGTTGCTATGATTGCTCCAGGTGCTACGCCCGGAACTTTCGGCCTCTGAGCCCGGAACGCGAACGGTATGTCTATAAAGCCCGTAAGCACGACTTCTCAACGGCTGGAGTTATTTCTTGAGTGTGGTCTCTCGATAAAAATAGCTAGCTTTTCATAAATACTCCCACAACACGGAATGTTCGGACACCTGCCTAATTACTGCAACGGTAATTATTGCTGCTGCGGAGAAGAGTCAGTTGCGCATTCTATTTAGCGCATCGCCAAACAACTGCGCTTTGTATTCAGATCGTGGACGCGTGCAGAACTGACGCTGATTTATCGTCGCTCCTCAGACGAAAGGGCGCATCTCTTTTCCGACATGAGCCCCGGAAAGAATGGTGTTATATGGAGAGCACGGCTCAAGTGGAAATCGAAATACGCCGCTCATGGCGACGTTATTACCAAGTTTCTTTCGCGCTCTATATCGTCGTTCCTATGACGTAATGGCGTATCTCTAATCCAACATGAGCCCCGGATAACATGGATTTAAATGTAAAGCAGGGCTCATGCCGAAATCAAAATATGTCATTACGTCAGAGGGGCGACGATATGTATACTGAATTTCATCACTCATGGCCCTTCTGAGACGAAATTCGCGAAAATCCTGGCGTGGAATTTTCCGCCCCCTCAAGGCCACAATTCCAATGCGTCCTAATTTTCTTTTATTTGATTAGTTTAACAATGCTTCCTCAGCATCAAAGCCATCCAGATCGTCGTGACGTTTTGAATAAGCGTAGGTACGCATCGGAGCATCCGCGGTATCAATACTCGTCTGTATTTGTAACAGATGAAGAGGGGACTCAAATTGAGAGTTACAAATGGTGATGGAAAATCTCTTTATTATAAACTATTCCGCATTACGAGTCAGTTGCGCATCTCATAGAATCGTGTTTTGATGATTGATCCATAATGCTTCTCAAACTGGTAAATGACACTCCCCCAAAGATCTAAAACCCATTAATGGTTTGGAAGTAATATACAGAGGGACGTATTTATAGTTGTCCCTTAAAAGTTTCCTTTATTTGGGAGGCCTCATATGGTTCCTTTACATTACCCATAATAATAAGGGATGTTTTGGGAGATTCTCAACATTACATCGTAAAGAAAATGACTTTGAGGAGTCTAAAGTAAAATTCATCAAAATAACTTTGAAAATGGACACTTCAAAGCTGTTAGATTGTTATGCCATTAGAACAGATACAAAAGAAATAGGGCACATTTTCTGATTTTGACACACTTTGAGGTAGATCTGCAAGGACCGAACTTGATATTTTGAAAACCTGCAAAACCGTTTCTTTTCTAATCTCAGTGGCTTGGCGAGCTTTTCGCTATACTGATTGATTTGCCATTTAAAACTATGGAAAAAGATCGATATAAACAGGGTGTTCGCGCGCTACAGGTACCCTCATAATCGATTCTATACCATAGCTTCAAATGGGGAAATATCGATAATCTATCAATACCCCTCGTCACTGTGTAGTATGTGTTTTTTGTAGAGGCAAGTCGTTGAAACCCTTTGCAAGGGTATATTTTTAAAGTTATACTGTTGAATTCTACTAAAGACTAATTTAATAAAGTTGTTTAAATGTAAAGGAATCAGCCATCAAAACACAATTCTGGTATGATGTGCAATCGACCCTTGACCAAACAGCACGGTGTGCTTTTCAAAAGAGTGCATTCATTTCATTATTTTCATTATCAAAGGAGTGCATTCATTAATTTTTTGTTTCAGGAAAATTTTACGGAACACTGAGCAGAGACACGAAACAACATGGACAGCATACCAAAACACACGTCACTGGGGCGCCGAGAATGCATACCAATCCTACACACTAGAGGGACTCATTATGAAATTGGATTCGATATTGTGAGTACCTATCATGGTCATATACAATGTAGAACTCATGTAAACAAGAATTCTTTCGAAGTTATACATATACTTATTTAACCATGCCTTGCCCTATACAATAAACAGAGAGGAAAGAGAAAACATTTTAAAATCTGCGCTGGGTCATGAGTCTGAAAAGAGACGAAGCCATGATACATACATCTGCTTTCCTGGCAAATTTTGGAAAATAATTCTTTTGAAATCATTCTGCTTGCCAGCAGAGGGATTCTAAATAAGTTGCTTATACTTTTTTTTTTTTTTATTTTAAAGGATATTTGTGATAGCCGAGTTATTTAAATTTACCCAAATTAAGTGCATCGACATTATGCTAAGTAGATATATATCTGACGGATATTTCCTCTATAGAGTTCATATTTGTTCTTAATTTTTGATATCATAGATATAGCATTATTTCACACTGTTCATTCCAACACCGTTCGAAGTCTGAATGATGACACAACAAATAAAAAAAGAGGGGGAAAAGAGGAAAATGACTATACTAAAGTCAACGTTCAATGTAGAGAACGTCCACTGAAGCACCTCAACTGCATCATTAATTTACGTCATTAATTCCTAATACGTACCTGGCGACATCTGAGCAAACTATCCACACAACAATGGCGCGATCAATCGATAAAAAGATACCTCCAATACCTCTACTAATAATTGGTCGTTTTATGGGGCTTCTCCAGGGGTGCAATTATTGTCTCCTCCATCACATTTTTGGGACGACAGAATTTTTTAAAAAATAGAAAAGAAGAAGAGGAGAAGAGGAGAAGAGGAGAAAAGAATAGAAGGAGGAAAACAGACAGAAAAAAGAAAATAGAAGAAGAGGGAAGGAAATCAAATTAAAAGAAGAAAGATAAATATATGAGGAGGAAAGTGGAGGGGAAATAAAAAGGAGGTAAATATGAAAGATAAAAAAATAATAAAAAAACAAAAGAAGGAAAAACGCAATCAATCAGAAACATGACATGAAGACGTAATAGAGGAAAAGAAAGGATAAGGGTAGAATATAGAGAAGAAAAGTTCTGTGTGACACTGAACAAAATTTTGTTAATTGTTCGTAAAGGTGTTGCTATCTACTGATTGAATCTGTACAATCAGTTTGGCCGTAATACCTTCCTGTAATTTTTTATAATACACGATTAGTGATACTTTAACCACTGACTGCTGAACTTTTAAGTTTTATTAACTTTAATTCGATTGATAACTTTGTTGTTTTACCGTATTTTAAAAGTAACATGCATTGTGATAGCACATTAATTAGTGAATTTTGCTGTATAGTTGTGATATAGTGCTAAGGACGGATTGATAGAAAGGGGTGAAAAAATGACTGCTAGTAACACGAATCGATGCTATATTCGGTAATGATATTCCAAGGATGCAACTATTGACTATCCCGGTTGCCTATACGATAAACTGAAGGCTCCTCGCAATTCCTGGGCCATCAGAGTAATGCTTGCGGTAAACGGTGCTTACACATTAAAGTTTGCCTGTCCCAGTTTCGGCTTTTGCGTTCAATGTAAAATATTCATTCTCTCCTTCGCCCTCTTCTCCATTCTCTTATTTTTCCTCTTCTTATTCTTTATTCATCCCTCTTCATTGCTCCCGGTGGGGGGAGGAGAGGCGCCTACTTTAGTTTTTGCGTGTGTATGACCGTTTACCCTCATGGTGACCTTTATAGCGGCTTAAACCAAAGAATGTGAGTAAAATACAGCCATTTTATGAATCCCTCTCAGCCGTGACCAACCTTGACTATATCATAGTTAAATTACTAAGTTATTAAATGGTTCTTTTTGTGTTCTCAGGGCCGGACATTTGCCAGTTTGATCCACAGCTTTCTGTCCATTTACGATCCCCTGAACCAAGAAGTTCTGCCCGTATACGAAACTCCTGATGGGAAACGCGTTTACGAGGAGACTCTCAATCACTGCGTGGAACATTTTCCACAGTATGTGGATGAAATCAAAGGCACAGCAGAGGGAGCTGGAGTCCCTTTCCATAAGGTAAGTTGCGCAAGGGAAAGAATGAGGAAAGTAAAGAGAAGGTAGCTCGTATAATCTTAAAAAGTAATAAAAAAATCTTAAAAATAAAATAAAATGAATATATAATCTTAATGCAGTCGTTCCTTAAACAGCCTCTTCCAATACAGGAGGCCCCGTATGGTTTATTTTGTGATTAATGGAGGTTTAAAGAGATCCTCAACGATAGCTCATGAGAAGGACAATTTCAAAAACAATCACAGAATGACTTCGAAAATAGATCCATGGAAGAGATGACAAAAATTTTCCACTACGAAAAATGAAATCTTCTATTTTCACAGACTTCAAGGTAAAAACAAACGTAGCGAAATTTTCAAAACCTGCGTTTTCGTTTGAATTTTTTCAATTTTTCGTGGATACAAATCACTTTAATCCCCTACAGGCATCTATTTCCAGAAGTATAATGGTAGACTTTTACTCAAGATTTAGGTTTTAGTTTTTAAATTATGCTATGTTATGGATCTTCTTATACCTCTCTTAATCTCAAAATAAACTATGTGATGCCTTCGGAGAAAATGAACTGTTAAATGAACGATTATAGATACTGCCCCCATGTGCGTCCAAATTCAGAAAAATGAATGGAATGGCATTCAAAATATAGGTGTTAGCATTGCCTCTTGCAGAAATCGTACAAGTATTTTTTTGTTTATTCTCATATAAAAAAAAACCTAGAATTCTATGGTCATGTAATCATGAGATAGAGCTCTAAAATTCAATTTCTAGCAATAGTTCTTGACTAATAATTCTTGACTAGCAATAGTTCTCTGTAGCTTGTTCAGCTACAGATTGGCCGTGCCAGTCCAGCATGCACCTATGTCCTTATGCATGCACGTTTGAATGTCAACAGACTATTTAGACGTATTTCTGCCAAACGGAAACAGAGCCAGATGGGAAAGAAGGGGTTTGCTTGTTAGTGAAGGGCCGTAAGAATGAATGGGAATTATAAAGCGCTAGTGACGTCAGCGGCGACGAAGCCGCCCCGCCGCGCGCCGCGTGGCGGGCGGGCGGCCAGCACGCAACGCGCATTGGCGCCTACAAACCTAAGGGGATACTTCAAGCATTGCGCAATGCGTGTAGTATCCCCTTAGGTTTGTAGGCGCCAGTGCGCGCTTCGTGCTGGTAGCAGTGCAGCACGTCGCGTCACTCTGCCTTATGCCAGGCTTTATTATTTAAATTCGCATGATCAGCGTTTTTCAACTCATGATTTTTAAAGTTTTGCGCACTCTGCATGGATTACTTTCATTTAAATTGATAAAAAAATATTTATGTGCGAGGAAAATATAATGTATGCTACTAACTTCATTATTTATAGTTAAGTGTCTTTTACCAATTTTTGTCCGCATCGTCCATAAGCATGCCGCACTGTGCGCCGCCGCGGTCGCCCTGATAAGGGTTCTTTAACTCATTAGCCCTGCCCACAACGCTCTTGTCACATACCCATAGCTCATGAGTGCCGCATTCACATGGCACATCCCGTTTGGCAGAATGTGAAATCCTGCCTTTCCATTTCTCCAAAGGGAATCATGCCCACTTTAACATTGTTTCTTATGCAGCTTTCTAGAGCACACCCCATCTTTCTCGCTCGTCCATATACCTAGTTCCGTTAGGCAGAAATCTATAACATAAAATCATAAGAGTGATGCCTTATACGTAACGCCTGAGACGTAAAGCGGTTTCAGTGAGTCAAACGCGATATTTTAGTATGTCATAAACATTCAGATTTATTCTTTAATATTGCTGAATTAAGATGCCTCTTCCATTTCTAATCGAAGCTCTATCTCTTCCCCCTTTTTTCTAGTTATTTTTGCTACACATGGAGGACATAGTTCCTAATGTGGTGAGTCAAAGACGAGGTGAAACTCCCGAAGTTCGTCAGGCTCCTGTTGGATGCTCGTCCATCTGTGTCAATCAACCTAACAATGTAAGTACATAAAATTACATTACTTAAGAACGTCGATCATCATTATTTTACTTTAAGTTTTCAATACTTACATGTGCATTACAAGGATGAAAAAAAGTGGAAATTTTAAGATATTATCACCCAAGGGGAGAAATTCTCTATTGGATCGATGGATATTTCAATGTATAGTTCTCGAATGAGGATTCTCGTTGAGTCAACAATGAGTTTCATTTGGACTATTTAAAAAAAAAAAAAAAAAAAGCTATCGCCCTCGTGACCTGGGCCTTAATGCTCATGAAATCGTATGCACGACAGGGCTCAAGTCAAATAAAAATACGGCCTTTTGATTTAAGAACGTCCATTTATAAAATGTTTGAAAATGGCATTGTGAGAATAGACTATTAGACAAGGTACGAATTGAAGCATTCTGATAAATAGCGCACCACAATGGTTTTGGCAGGCTTATCGATCAAACATAGTTAATGTCCCACCCTTTATTGTTCAAAGCGTAAACAATTTGCTACAGCTGAGCTAAAGCGTCAAGATTGAGATTGCCATATTTTTGTATCGCAGAGACTGTCACGGTAATGTTTAGTTTGCGATCTGAAGTACGTAGACCATTACGTTTTCATAAGCGGGAGGTTTGAAATCACGAGTCAAGAAATATTGAATATCTTGGTTAGGAGTCAATTTCAGTAATTTTTGTTGCACGAATCGTGTTTCACGTTACATTTTGGTGAAAAAATCATATATCAGAATGCTTAACTTCGTACCTTGTCTCGTAGTCCATCGAGATTGAAAGACACCTCGAGAGTCTTTCAAAGCGAAACACACAAGTTTGTCTCTAAAATTATTTCGGGGCGCAATCTGTTTTTTCATGAGATTTAAATTATTTTATTGATTGCAGGAAGTTTTAAGTCACAACGAGGATGCGCTACACTACGTCCTTAACCATTTTTACCTGGTTTCTGCTCACGTGATCTCAGAGGAGCCTCAGGGCCGTTGGAAAGTCAAGGAAGAGAAGTTCACCTCGCTCTGTTACGCTGGCCATCTCCCTGGCTTCACGATGAGCTATAACCATCACGGTTTTATCTATTCCATCAACATAATCAATCCAAAACATTTGGTATCTGGAAAAACACGTAAGTTCTTACTGAAATCTTCCAGAATGAATGTCTCTGAATCTTTCATTCAATAAGCCACTAGACGAGGTCTTACCTACACTGAAAAAAAGAACCTTGAAGACGCCGAGAAATATTTTTTTTTAAATCAAGAATTTTTCTGCTTAAAGAAAAGTAATTTTTTCCTTAACCCAAGCATTATTTTTCTTGTATCAAGAAAGATTCAGCTTAAATCAAGATAAAAAAAATTCGTGGCGGCAAGTTCAAGAATCATCATGCTTGAGCCAATCACCTTTTTTTCAGTATCCTGGTAAAAATTGGCGATAGTTGCTGCGTTTCAAAATACCATAGGAGTTCTTATAGCCGACTGAAGAAGGCGATAGAAAATCATATAGCTGCCTGTAGAAAGTGGAAAAAATCATACGACCGGGCTACATGAAGCAATAAAAAGTTATATATACAGCCGGGCTATAGCGGAGCGGCTGCGCACTGGCGCCTACAAACCTAACAGGGATACTTCACGCATTGCGCAATGCGTGAAGTATCCCTGTTAGGTTTGTAGGCGCCAATGCGCGTTTCGCGCTAGCTGCCCGCCCGCCGCGCCGCGCCGCAGCGTACCACGGCGCTTGAAGCAACTATGTCACACCAGAGGTATTGCACAGTGTCATACGAAATTGAAGGCGCTCCAACATATTCGGATGACAGGCATCCTTCAAAAGTACGGAGCTTTCCTCGCAAAATACATAAATCAAGATACTGCGGCCCAAAAAGAGAGTGGTAGTCCAAAAACTCACTAAGTCCTAGCATCCGTAATTAGTAAGGTTTAGCATACACTTTATCGCCAGGCTGTTGCTTAATCGCCGTCGGCTAGAAAAGGCTATAAGAAATTGTGTTGACGGCTATAGAAGCTGTTGGAAGGAGGCACTTCTTGTGAGGGGGGGGGGGGGTGCATTAAAAGATACCCTACTGAGGAGGATCTGCAAAAGTTCCCCAGCTCCAGTGGTAGGTTTGAGGGTTTTATTTAGCTTCAAATAGGGATTCGGGGAACCTTTTTCATAAGTCGTTTCAGCAGCAATTTTCCCGCGTGATATTTGAATAACTGAATAAATCAACATTTTCGTTTTTTTCGGTTCTCTGTTGCAGCTCGGTATTTCTTGACGCGGGCGCTCCTAGCGGCGGAGAACTTGATGCAGGCGCAACAGATCCTGAGGGATCACGGGAGTGGTTCTGCAGACGGGATCAGCGTGAACATGACTTTCCTGAATCAGGAGGGTGACAGGTTATTCCACAATGCCGAGATCGGCCCAGCTCTCAATGACGCCTCTGAGTCACCTTTGGATATCCTCACTGCTAGTCCTGGAGAGCACATCTTCCACACCAACAAGTACGCTCTTTTCCTCCTGACTTGTAGCATACAGAAAAAAAAGAAGTTTATGCTATATCGCCAAAGTCCATACTTACACAGTGGGATGCTGGGGTATGAAGACGAGGTCTCCTTATTTGCAGGGGGAGACACACCACTATTTTTAGCACTACATTTTTTTTGTGTGTGTACGCTGGTGTTTGTCACGCGCGGTACACACAGCCGTGCTAAGGAAGAACGTCGTATGAACATTCGAACATTGCCAAATTTTCCCGAATAAAACATGTATTTTTAAAGAAAGTTATGCGTATTTTTCCTTAAAATTTTTCGATATTTTAGATTGAATTGGGAAGGAAATTGTCTAAAAAATTGGGGGGAAAATATTCAGAATGTTCCGAGTAAATTCGTTGGTTATTGAAGTAAATGTGGCAACGCCTGAAGGCGTATACGGCGTTTTTCCTCAGCACGGCAGTACACTGGTCAGACATGTTGCACACCGCGGGTGGCAGGTCTGACACCGATGAATTACAAATATGATGAAGCGCGCACCTTGGTATAGACGCACTGCGTGAAGTGCGCATGCAGTCTTGTAGGTGCCTTCGCGCATCGGCACAAAGATCCAAGCAAGATGAGAACTGCTTAACTCCGCTTGTTTGAATAACAGCTCCAAACACAGTGCGGTTTGCGGTCGACAAGGTACGCCTATTAACGCCTACAAGACCGTGGGAATACTTCACGCATTGCGCCAAACACAGTACGGTCTGCTAAGGCGGCTCGGAACGCATATTAGCGCCTACAAGACTGCATGAATACTTCACGCGTTGCGCCAAACACGATGCAATCAGCGTGATACGCATCTCGATGGAAACGAACAATACCCGCCAATCAGCAAACGGACAATTTTATAGATCGAAGAGAAAAATTCTCCATTTTTGTAATTTTAAGCTTAGATTTGCAATTTTTTCATACGCTACAGCGTCATGGAAGCGCTCTCACTACAGAATGAAGATGTTGCATGTGTGAGGAATTTGCAATTTGACTGTTGGCTCTAATAGAAAAAATCGCGAGAAACACGATGGTGCTACTGGTTTTCTCTGAAATCAGCTCCCAAGCTCAAAAAAAGCTCTCAAGTTGAGGCCAAAATGGAGGGAATATCCCACGCTATCCTGAGAGTCCACCTCTACATCAAGACAAACTCTCCATGCAAACGAGAAAAACAGTTTGTTTGAATTTAAAGCATGATAAACGGTACTTTGTATCTTGTTTCCTCACTTCTGCATTTTTACAATTTGTATTCAGCTACTCAGTATTTTCCTAGTTTCCTCTACAAAATGTACCACCCCAGTAGGCAACTACCGAGACTACTTACCGGGTAGATCCGGGTATGGACACTGCATCAGTTAGTTTCATTTACTGTTAAGCTTGATTCTTTTTTTTATTTTTTCTTTCTCCCTTTCATAAAACAACTTTAAATTTGAAAGTTTTATTTTTTCCTCAGGTATTTGCGTTTGAAAAACATTGAAGAGGCTGGTGGGAGAATAATTGATAGCAGCGAGCACAGACTGGACGCCCTAAACCAGTTTGTGAGTCCGAAGAAATGTGAGGACGTTTTGCAAATGCTCGGAGACCAATCCGATGCCGAACTTCCCGTCTACTGTGATTCAGGATATGTCAGAACCATCGCAACAGGTGAGCTTGGAAATGGGTCCAAAAGCTTTTTTTCATCATTTCCTCTCTACATGACGCTGTAATATAATAAATATGAGTAATATGTCGAGTACTCTAAAGGTTCAAATAACATTCGATTCTTATTGGTCCAATTGCTCCCGGGTAGAGGGATATTGGGGATATAAATGGGCATATAAATTGGGACTAGAGGGATATAAATGAGAGTCGGATATGAAAATCTTTTCATTTTTTTGGTCGTTCTTTTGTCGACGCGGGCCTAAGAGAACGCGAAGCGCCCTCTAGGGGTTGGGCCTTGTAGCGGCCAGGGGGCATAGCCCCCTAGTTAACTATTACAGGTCTACACATGAATGTCTCCAAAAAAGCTTCTAGGTATCTTGAATCCATAGGTAGGTGAATAACACCAGTATTATTTGTTTACAGGTGTTTTTGATTGCGTGAAACGTACGTGGACAATTTACGCTGATAATCCCAAAACTCACGAGCCACTCATCGTGATTCCATTACAAACGAAATGAAGAAATTTGACGCTTGAAGTATCGTGCCTTCAAATTTTTATTTCCTCTCAACCAAACATGGAAGAAGAAATGACTATCTTCCCGTGCAGGGAATTTCTCTTTGTCGCAAAAAATTGTGCTTGCAGCGATGTAAGAATTTGATGATCGCTGCATTAAAAAATCACACATTCTGATTGAAGTAATGAGATCTCACCGGACTACAACGTAATTTTCAAGGATTCTTCCTCTAAAAATTGGGTTGGAGTAAAAATACGACATTGGTAAACTTCGCAAAGAAATTGAGGGGGAAAACTACGGGAGTCACACATCTCCAATCTTCGTACTCAAACGAAATCATGTCCAAAACCATAGGCACAAGAGCTCTACAATTTGTCAAAACTATTTTTCGCTTTTGATCGTAAAATAATTTCTTCCTATCAAGAAATCGATAGATGCTACGTCATTCCTCAAAGAATCAAAAGCTATAAATTACATTTTCTTGTTACAAATACCGTCCATTTGTAAAACATGACGAACACTTGTTGTGTAATAGAGCATGTTTGGGTCACAATTTTTCAAAATTTTTGTCTTAAAGTCTAGGTGACGTTATCGCGGGTTCAAATCTTACTCAGACCAAAATGCGTATTATTAGTTCCTTTTTTTTAGTTGATTTACGCGGTTATATTTACCAACATCAAAATTTTTACCTAATCATCCTCTCAATCTTCAATTTATCATGTTCTTCTTAAAAACGCAAGAGAGGCTAAGGTTAAAAGACCTAATAAATATTTGTCTCTATGAGACAATTTCAAACGTATTTTTGTGTTTTTTCCTATTTAAAATTATACTTACATTTGATTCCATGTGATACTAGAAAACCACCAAAAACCGTTTAACAACAAATTTATATGTATCAATACATGTGCGTTTCATCATACTTTGATTAAGTTTGCATCAAAACCTTCCTACCAAACATAGATTTCTTATTATACGGTTCTTAGCTTGAGTACAATAATTACATGTGATGATGGATAAAAGAAGTGTAGGGAAGGTGCATAGAGAGATAGAAACAAGGGGGAGGAGATTTAAAAGAAAAAAAGAGTTCCTACAAGCGTTCCTGATTGACATATGCTAATTATTCTGACAGAGTAAAAACTGCTTGATCACATTTGAGGGAATGTCAACTTTGCTGATCACATAATGATTTTGCTGTCAAATGCCAATCAAAACACATGACCTTGACTAAACTCTCCAGGCCCCACTGAAAATGATTTAGCTCGCCTGGAGGCTTTGGCAGGTATCCTTATTAAGAGTCTCAAAGATTTTCCGACTTAGGAGACAAAATGGGTCTACATTATAATATTTTCAGTGTGATACTCAGATCAGGCACTAGTTTCACTGACAACGCGGTTTACCGATACAACAAACTAATGATTTACCTTTATTCTGATCGTTTTTACCTCGGTTAAATTTATTGTATGTAAAAAAGTCTATGCTTAAACGTTATGAAAAATTAATGAATAAATATGAAAAAAAATATATATTTTTTGTTCATCTTATTCTTTTTTCCCCTTTGCGTGTATCAATTATTTGAGAAAGGAGCTAAGTATTTATGAGCAAAATATTCTGCGCGCGTCTGATCGTTTCCCCAAGCATGCGCTTCAGCTGATTTTAAGGAGTTAAACAAGGGCGTAACATATTTTTATCACAATTTTGGCGACACTTCTTATCGAAAAATTGAAAAATTCCAACTTATAATCATTCAAAAAATTCTATGAGTCATGACTTTGTCAAAAATTAACCGATTATCAATATCATTTGAAAGAAAGGTCTTTTTATGACTGGATTAACGCATTTTGCATGTTAATTAATAAATAGCATTAGTAAATGAAATATCTTGCCTTTGTACGCTAGTTGATTTTCATTTTGGTCAGTAGATACATTTCGGACTACAAGACCATCCACACCACTACTATCACAAAATTAACGGGAAAATTCATTGAAAAAACATGTTTTGGCTGTTAAAAACTAGTCGTAAAAATAGTGCAACTCAATATTTCTGAGGATGAACTCGTAGTCCGAAATGAACATGCACTGTTCAAAACGAATAATGCGCATAACAGTGCAACTTAATATTTCTGAGGATGGACTCGTAGTCTGAAATGTACATGCACTAACGAAAATAAAAAGCAGGAAATGCGCAAAAGCAAAATTTTTCATTTATCAACTCTGTCTTGTTACATACTATTTCATATAAAAGAAGTTGAACCCACCTGCAACCGTTCAAAACGCCCAAAAGTTAATTTTTCTTTGATCCCCACCCCCACCCAGCATCCCGGGGGACTGGATCAAAAACTCCGCCATTCTTGACAAAAATGAAAATATGACTAGATTCCGTCTTGGACCCAATGGAGAATTTGGAGGTGTCTGAAATTTGATAAATTTTGTGTTTGAGTGGAAACTACTGAGTGAAATGAACACGAAGATACCCTTGGTTTAAGAATTGAACAATTATTGGAGAAGATATGACAAAATTATCTAATCTGCTAAAATACGTGTGTTTCAATGGGAAATGCCGCCAGATGACGTCACTATAGGCGGTGCATTTTCTCACTTTTAAATCTATTTTTATACCATTTCCCATATCAGAAAAAAATTATAAAAAATACCGTGAAATCAGCTCTTTGAGCGCTTTCAGGTGATGCAATAAAAAACTTGCATGCAAATTCTCCATTCTTACGGGAGCTGCACATACCTCACCACCACCATCATCAGCTTATTCGTATTGGTAGATTTGAACATCGCTCATTTTTGTTTTTTCTCGAGTGAGGAGTTTAATTTACTAAGTCCATTGAAAGTTATAAACACTCCTTTATTTTTCATCTCTTGATTCTGAACTTTTTCAACCGAAATTTTTATAAGGGATCTTATCATGCGATTGCTTATTTCTTAAACAGTTTAGCGGTTCACGCAGGAACTTTTTGAGCATTTTAGGCAGAAACTCCATGACACTGTTGATTGCTTTGGTCTTTCTCCCGGAAAATTGAGGTGGTAATTTTCTCTATGAGTTGCCACTCGTAACGAGCAGTATGCACTTAAATATTTTGAACTTTTTAACTAACGGTGTTATATTACCCTTTATCTTTTCTCTTCAGTTATTCATTGAGATTATTACTTGTTAAAAAGAACTTATCACGCGTGTATCACGCAGGGAAAGGGAGGCTTCCAGACAGGGGTGTACTCTGGATATTTTGAGTATCAAGTACATTTTAAAAAGACGTCATTCGAACTTATCTAATGATACTAAAGAGTTTTGGGGAAAAATGCATTAAAACGAACAGGAGAAAACTTTCCATTAAATTAATTTTAGTGATAGAATCACTTTTCTGACTCCCAAAGTAGCAGTGATTGTGATAGATAGCAATTTTATCGGTTGATTATCGCGATTACATCGGTGAGGAATCGGCTCTCAAGAATTGGACTACATTCTGCAATTACGAACTACAAATTCTGGCCCGGTTTAAAAACAACGTATGCGCCATTAGTTTCCCTGTGCACTTAAGTGTTTTTTCAGATGAGCCAGAATTTATTGTTCCAAATTGCAAAATGCAGTCCAATTATTTATCACAAACTGATAGCGGTAGACGCACGAACTGACGAGACACTGCAGACCAAATTACAAACAAAATTATCCGAGAAATTGGCGGGAAAATATCCACAAATTTTCCTGTAAATTGGTGATTTGCCAGGGGAAATTCGGCAACGCCTGAAAGCTCATACGGTGTTTTTCCTCAGGACGGCAGAATGGGACTCGATACAGCGGCTCGATTTGTGAATTGATATCAAATGACCATGGTAAATAAAAAGCATTGCTAAGATAGGGATTCGTCGATTAGGATAATTTGATAACGATTCAAAAATCGAGCCGCAGATATCGAACAGTTGAGTTCTTAGCGATCGTAGTAAAGCGTGCCATGTGCATGGCGCCCTTAAAAGCTTAAAAGGGAAGTAATTATAAAAACGGAGGACAATACTGTATTTTAAGCACTTTCTCCCTTAAATGGACGTATTTCTGTCAAACGGAACTATGTGCAATATGACGTGAGCCCTGTTATGCATGTATGCCTATGGGACTCAGAGTTCATGTCTTAATGCACATAGTTCCTTTTGACAGAAATAAGTCCAAATGATGATTGATCCGTACCTTGCGGTTTGGCATATCTAAATTCCTACATTTTAGCTTTTATAGTTTTCGCAACGCACTGCATTTGGCACTGTGACACCAATGAAGATGACGGACAGAAAAATACCCCTAATTTTCGGTTTCAAAACCAGCCGATCAGTGGCGTGGCGTGCTTTGTGATATATCGATTGTTATGCCATTTAAACCTATGGAAAAGGATCGATAAATAGGGTGTTCGCAGCGAACACCTTAGTAATCGATTCTTTACCATGGATTCAAATGGGAAAATATCGATAATCGATCATTCACGCCACGCCACTGCAGTCGATATGTTTTTTTAACACCTTGGCCGTAGATATTTGTCATATTACTCTCGGAGGAGATAGGTAATGGTAAATTTTGTTTTCAAGAACAGTCCATTGATACGTAGAAAAATCAGAGCGGATTTTGTCTGAGTCCCTAGCTCAAGGCAAAAACCGCAACAAAGGGGTTGTCCAACGACACCTCCGGTAAATCTACTCCAATGCAATTTTTGTATGCGAAACGATGTATTACATTTAAAGGAATGTAACACTACTGCAGAATGTGTACCTATGTTACTTTTAAACACACAAGTATCACCCCGCGTACGATTCTGTTACATGACTGTGGGTAAATGTAGTAACATATTGATGTGTTTTGCCTCATGTTATTCACAAAAGGAATGCACTTAAGTTACGCGCTGTATCTTCAAAACGTAGTTCTGTGATAAGGCGGATGAAGGGAAAGGCGTTGTTGCTTTGCATCGGTTACATATGACAGAGGTATGGCGAATGCAATAAAATACAGATAAAATACGGGAGGAGATAGGGGCTAAGAGTACCTCTGTCCATAAATTAAATGACAAATCGCTGATGAAGGTATAAAATTCAATAGTCCAGTTATCGACGTTGAAAATGTCCTTTCTACTCGAACTATAATGAAAGGAAACCAACTATACGAACTTTTTAAGATGTTGCTTGATTCTTCCTTGAACCTCATACCGAAATCTTCAGAAATTTCATACAAAAATATCCAGTAGTGATACTTTTTTTAATATAAATACATAATTTTTAAAACATTGTCATTGAAATAAAGCGTTAGTGAAATTCACGTGGATCACAAAGAGCGAGCCAATCATAATTTCTACCGAAACTATGGGAGATTTTCTCAGATCTTTTGCTCCATATATTTAAGGCAGAAAATGAATTAACACCATTTTAAAAATTTGAAATCGTAGCAAAAATTAGAGACACAGCAATGAGGGCTCATAGTTTCACCGTTAAAATACGCAATAATATCACTGAATTCGCATATAAGGGCTTTCTAGTAGGTAAGTCAGGTGCCTGCCCATCATTATATTCTCTACGATGATCAGGGACCTTTCCCACTTCATCGTTTTTTGCCCATAAATTATTAATTTATAAGGATTTTTTCGCACAAATTACTTCCAATTTTGCGTATTTATGTTTGTGCGCTAAGATCTCCTCCCAACCCCTCATTTCTAACGCACCGTAACATAGTTCAAGATTCTTTCCTCCGATGTGCATGAAGTTATTTTTAACGGTCTGTTTGATATTCTTTATTTTTTATTTTCTTATCCCTCTTTTTTTGACATCGCAAGTTCAGCATTCCATCGTGAGGTCTTGGTGGGTACCATACTTCCAAAACTGAGAAAAATGTCCCTAATGACAAAAATATTCAAGTGATCTCCCTACGTAAATATCTCCCGCGCGTCAGAGAATCTGCCAGTGCGTTATCTAATGGAATATTATTCATGTACTTACCTTTTATTTTACCTTTGTTTATCTACAATTAATTATCTACCTTGTTGATAGGTTGCCCGTCATAACCTCCGCTCTCCGGGCGTCTATTTTCAAGTAGTCGTGCCTATAAATATTCAATTCGAGCTGGCAATCCTACTTCATGTTAAGAGCCAATCAAGCGACTTACGTCTTGATCGACAAGTATGCGCACGGGGCTTAAGTATGTTGCAACTTGATCGTGCGATTAATCGGTGAAAAGAACTTATTTCCTGAATACACTAAGCGTGAGTTTATTTTGTCACCCTCGAATACATCTAGATCTGAAGTTGGTGCGTGAACATCAAAGATTTCGTGAGTATCGAGGATTAACCTCCCGAAAGATTCAGTGAAAAAGTGATAAACCAAGAATACTGGGCGGTAACCCTCGCGTTCAACAATTAAATTCAAAGTTAAAATCGAGTTTAAAAGTCCGGGCACATGAAACATACAGGGAAAGAGTGAAAACACGTTTGGAACTAATGACTGTGCCCATCCTCAACTGAGATAAAAGTTAACAATAAAAGTAGGAATAACAAGAGCACTGATTTCATAAGCTTAAACTGCAAAATGTCTTGTTAAGAATTAAAGCTTTTCCACCAGTTGGTGATAGGCACAGAGAGTATTCCCAGAGCTCTTTAAAGAAGGATAGCGAGAAGGGGTTCTAATAAATGGCCAAACATTTTTCATAGAAGAGGGAGGTCCATTCTGTAAACCTTTGGATCACAAAAACGAACATTTTTGGGGGAAAATTGCACGGAAAAAATTAAATTGCTGATTTATTAATTTTAAACAAATTCTAAATCAAATTCAATTCTGCAAATTCCATTCCTAATTGCTGAACAAAGTGATTGCAACGTTTCAACGTAGATTTTATAACAAAAAAATGCTACCTTAGCCACTGTTGTAAGCTAATTTAATCACGGAGGTTGTTAAAGTAGCATTTTTGGTTGTAAAATGTACATTGAAACTTTGCAGTCACTTTTTTAGCAATTGAATTGTTAAATAAGCAATTCAATTTTTTCCGTGTAGCGAAAGGGGGTCCAAAGTCCCTTAATTTTCCCTGGTTACACTAGCAGATATTGACATCCACTCATTACTCAGACGTCTGGGTTTCGTTTCTTGTGCGTTTCATTTAGTCCCGTGAAACACTTTGCAGCTGTGTCCATGTCCGTGCATTTATTTTCTAATAAAACTTAGAAGGAAAAAACAGTTTCTATTCTAATGTTGCGGTCCTCTAGAGGACTTTTCCAACTTTAAACTCCATTCGTGCGACACAATGGTTTTCCACGAACTTTTGCTAAGCGCCTGCTTTTCGCTGATTGCGTTCCTCGTTTACCTGGTGATTCACTACTACAGAAGCTACACAACTTGGAGTAGAGAGGGATCGCGGTTGCCTTACATCCCTTTCCCTCGGGACTGCGTTTTTTACCCCATCCAAAAGTCTCTGACCCTGCAGAAGTTTTACAATGAGCTGGCACCACATCCAATCGGAGGATTTTACAAAATGTCACGGCCGTACCTCCTCGTGCGAGATCCGGAGCTGCTTCGTCGCATCCTCATCAAAGACTTCTCGCATTTCGTGGATCATGGCTTTGATATCGACGAAGGGTTGGACCCCCTCAATGCTCACATCTTCAATCTAGAAGGGGAAAGGTATGTAATGTTTTCAGCATGCTTTTCCGCTTCGTGCATGAGCTTATCAGTGGACTGATTATTGAAATTGCTAGTTATGGCCGTAGATAAAGAAGACATAAAAAACATGGAGCGATCCTATTGGCCAAAGCGGGTGGTTGTTATAGACTAACCTACCCAAGTAGCATTTTTTAATGTAAAAGTTGCAACAAGTTAAAACAATGTTGGTATTCGTTGCAACTTTAGTTGCAACTTTCGGTCGATTTTCGGCGATCTGATCGGAAGACTTCCACTAGTAGGATCGCTTCATTTTCAGTTTGTCTTCTTTGACTATCGCTTTGTCTATCGATTTTGAGAATCAGCCCGCAGTCTATCAAATCTGTATTCATTGTTTCTTTTTGAGATATAGTTCTTCAGATCTTTGTCGATTGATAAGACAGTCGATCCTTTAATTGACACAACCTAAATTTTAGAAAGTTTCATGAGAATTTTTGAGTATCCACGCTGTTGTCCGTCAGTATGTATCAAACTTTAAACGAGAAAAGTTTTTAAACTCTTTCCGCACATGGCGATGCATCTACATGTACTTTCTTAAATACATTTCTTGAAAGTATGGAGTGAACTAAGCTCCGAGGAATTTTCCCAGATTTTTCATAAAGCTATATGCTAAAGCTTTTTAATAAGGGCTATACGAAGCTATTAAAAAGGATACAGTCGGGCTATAGTTCCTATCGCCGGGCTTTACTTTTTATCGCCATTGGCTATAAAAGGCTATGAGAAATTGTGTAGAAATTTGTGTGTTTTGGGAATCATTAAATTTGATACGGAACTACCTTAATATTTATAAAACACATGCTATTTTTTCCTTTAACACATATTTTTTTCATCAATTAAAATAAGAATAATCCATACAGAGTGTGCAAACATTTCAAAATCATGAGTTGAAAAACGCTGACTCCGCAAGATTAAATGTTAGAGCCTAGCACAAAGCGGAGCGGCGACGCACTGGCGCGGCGCCTACAAACCTAACAGGGATACTTCACGCATTGCGCAATGCGTGAAGTATCCCTGTTAGGTTTGTAGGCGCCAATGCGCGTTTCGCGCTCTCTGCCCGCCCGCCGCAGTGTGCCACGGCGTCTGAAGCAACTATTTCACACCAGAGGTATTGCACAGTATCATAAGAAATTGAAGGCGCTCCAACATATTAAGAATGACAGGCATCCTTCAAAAGTACGGAGCTTTCCTCGCAAATTAAATCAAGATACTACGGCACAAAAAGAGAGCGGTAGTCCAAAAACTCACTAAGTCCTAGTATCCGTATTTAGTGACGTTTAGCATAAACTTTATCGTCTGGCTGTTGCTTAGGTGCCATCGGCTATAAAAGGCTATAAGAAATTGTACAGCCGGCTACAGAAGCTATTGGAAATCTCATGGTATTTTGGAGCATAGATTCTACTGCCAATTTTTACCAGGGCGTTTAGCAGAAAGGAACCAAGCCACATAAGCTATTGCCACATTTAACTGGGCAAATTACATTTTTCACAAGCGAGCGTTTGTGCGGATTCCTGTAAAAAACCTGCCTCGTACTATGCAGGAAATTCACGGAAATTTGCACAAAAATCCACACAACCGTTTTCATGTAAGAAATAAAATTTCCCAAATGGCAATTGCTGATGTGGTTTGGTTCCTTTTCTGCTTGACGCGGTCCATTTTTTCCGTATGTGCCACAATCCAATAGTCTGAGAGCCAGATGATATTTTGTGACAAATTCGTGACACAAGTTTCGACCATTAAAATCTGCACAGACATGGAAAATGGTTGTCTGCTACAAATCAGCACACCCTACATGGTGGCAGACATTCATTTCCTGTATCAATACATGTGAGGCTATCAAAATTGGACGTATTTCTGCCAAACGGAACTTAAGACGAGTAGGAAAGATGGGATGTGCTCTAGAGAGCTGCATTAGAAACCATGTAAAAAAGGGCGTGATTCCTTCTGGAGAAATGAAAAAGCGGGATTTTACTTTCCACCAAACGGAACTATGTGCTAACTGAATGCGGCATTCATGAGCCGTGGGAATGGGAAAAGAGCGTTGTGGACAGGGTTCATAAGTTAAAGCCGACAACGGAGTCGGCTTCGTTGCCGCTGACGTCACTGGCGTTTTATGATTCCCATGCACTCTTACGGTCCTCAACTAACGAGCACACCCCGTATTTCCCACCTGCCTCTAGTTCCGTTTGGCAGAAATGCGTCCACTTTATAAGAGGTTAAAATTTGTGTTACGAGTACTTTGTCACTAAATTTTGTCTAGCTCGCGGACTGCAGTGCTGCCGTGCTAAGGAAAAACGCCGTATGAGCCTTCAGGCGTTGCCAAATGCCCCGCAAAAATTCACTAATTTTCAAGAAAATTTGTGCATATTTTTCTTCCAATTTCTCAGATGATTCTGTTCATAATTTAATCTAAAAAGTCTGAAAATTTCAAGGAAAAATATTGATAATTTTCCTACAAAATAAACATTTTATCGAAGGAAACTTGACAACTCTCGAATGCTCATACGACGCTTTTCCTTAGTACGGCAGAATAGGACTTATTTCTGCCGAACGGAACTATGTGTATTAAGACATGAGTCCTGAGACCCGTAAAAATATACATATGCTTAACAAGGCACAGGTCATAATGCACATAGTTCTGTTTGGCAGAAATACGCCGAATGTTCAACTCTCCTGATTGGGGTATTGGCGGATCCAGCAAATTGGCAACACTGTTTTTACCCATTTAAACCTATGAAAATGTATCGATTCTTGGAGGGGCCGGGTGCTCCGACAAGAATCGATTATTTGACATAGGTTTAAATGGAGGGCATCCGTTGTTGCTGAATTGCTGGATCCGCCCCTGATTGGGGAATATATGGACTTAGTTAAGCAGAAAGGAACCAACCTACATTTTGGAAAAAATTAAGTTATGAGTGGTTTTGAACTCAACCAATGCTCTACTATCTATCGCCAAAAATTCAAAGTTTTTTTTGGAGCAAATTTTGCAGAAATTGAACTTGAAGTTTATCTTTTACATTGAGTCTTATGCAGGAACCAAACTTTAAACCTCTTTTTCTCGGTTCGATCCCGATGTGGCTTGGTTCCTTTCTGTTAAACGCGGACCATATTTGAATGGGACAGATGGAGGGCGATCAGACAGAAGCTGACGCCGATCTTCTCCGGGGCCAAGATGAAAGCGATGTGGCCGCTGATGATGGAGTGCGAGAAGGTGCTGACGGGGCACCTGGACCGGCTCATCGAGTCCGGCACCGAGTTCGAAGTCAAGGACGTCATGAAGAAGTTCGCCATGGACGTCATCGGGACGTGCGCCTTTGGGCTCCGCTGCGACGCCATCCAAGATCCCGAGTCCGAATTCCGCAAGACCACCGAAACCGTCCTCCGGGAGTCGCACATCTTCTTCCTCCGGAGTCTCCTCCGCTCGATGGGCCTCAACCTCGTTCGCTTCCTCAAGTGGAAGAGGATCGACAAGTCCGTCGACGACTTCTTCTTCTCGCTCGTCAGGGAGTGCACCAAGATGCGGGCCAAGAACCAGCACACCCGCAATGATCTCATGCAGCATCTCATCAACCTCCAGCACGAGGAGCAGGAGGCTCTCAAGAAAGATAATAGTCAAGCAGGTCAGTTGGATTGCATTTTGCAAAAAGGAACCACTGGCATTGCAATGGTGCTAAGATTGTGCAACTTCGTCTTTTGCAATAAAATTGCGGAAATCGTGAAAAACTATGAAATTTAGATGGTAATTTTTGTCTTAAATTTACAGTTTTTAGCGACTAAAATAGAAACTATTAATGGATAATCGAGTTATTCCTCCAAGACAAAAGAAGTTGCACAATCTCTTAGCAACATTGCAATGCTAGTGGTTCCTTTTTGCAAAATGCAATCCAGTTAACCCTTTGTTGCATAGCGATGCATGAAAGCAACACATTTTTTTGGCTTTGGTCCTCTGAGGCATTAAATTGCGCAAAAGCAACGTACGGTTTCTGGGAAGGATTAGAGGTCTGATCTCCAAACTTTCGACGAAAAAATATAAACTTTGACTTTATCTGTTCCTATAATCCTATAAAAACACTGTACAATGCAGATTTTTTTCTCTGAAATCGGTAACGGACTCATGTAACAAAAGGTTAAACGAGAATAAACACTAAAAAAAGAGGATGGTCCGAAACAGTATATAACAGGGTGAAGAACTAATGCTGGGTCCACACCATTTTGTGCGAAAAAGGAAGCCGAGAAATTCCAAAAATAACAATTAGATTCAAATTATTTTAACTTTAATTAAGTTGAGGTCACGCCGAGGGATCTATAACGTATACAAGTATACTATAATAAACTATAATTTTTGGAATTTCTTGACTTAGTTTTCCCCACGAAAGGGTGTGGATCCAGCTCCATTTCTCCAACTTGTTGCAGGTCAGTTATACAGGGTGACCGGAGGTTAATGGGTTTAACTTTCAGGATCGATTTTTCGGCTCATAATATGACTATTTTTCCCTATGCACATATGCCCGAAAACGCTTCATAAGTGAGCTATGCGCTTCCAAAGTTGCGACTCTTTTCTTTCAAATTGATGTAACTCCTCGTTATCTTGTCGTAAGTGGCTGAAACTGTGGCTGAAACTGTGGCCATGGCGGTATTTTTTAGCGTACTGTTCATTTTTTATGTTTTCAAGGACCTACGTTTTTGGAAAATGACGTCACGAGCGTTCCCGAATTTTAAAATTGCGATAAATATTTTGGTAGATGATATTTTCGAAAACGAATTACAGCACGTGAAAGAGCTCAAAAAATAAAGGTTTCCAAATAGTACACAACATTTTCCAGAAACGCGTCATTTCGACGCAACAGAGCTTTAAAAAAGTTTCATATTTTCAAATCCTCTTGCTGGGTAGGCAATTTTTACTGTAGGAACTGTCGGAAAAATTGCCTACCGAGAAAGGGGCTTCGAAAATCCCAGAGGCAGAAAATCCCGAAGCTTACGCGACAGCTCTACAGATAGGTTTCCTCAAAGGTTTCGTACATATGAACTTGTTCAGAAAAATTTTCCTTATGAGATTACATTTTGCTAAAAAAAAAAAAAAAATAATAAAAAAAAATAAACATATAGAAAATAGCACATTCTCCAAGAGAGTCAAAAACACTTAATTGACAACAGAATCTTTTGTGGTGGTGGTAGATTCATCTGTATCTCACCTTTGTAATCAGTCTTAAACTGTCAATAATTTTCTCCCCTATAATTCCAATTTAGATCGGGGCAATTTACGTGAATGCGTACAGTTCACAGTGTTTGTATTCTAATGTTTCCTTTGTCTCAGAGCCGTTGATGACGGATTCAGTCGTAGCCTCTCATGCGTTCGTGTTTTTCGTTGGTGGTTTTGAGACGACATCTGGTACGTTGTCGTTCGTCTTCTACAACTTGGCCTTACATCCTGAGGTCATGGAAAAGTGCAGGGCGGAGGTCAGAGAGGTGCTGCAGAGACACGGTGGGACTATGACCTACGACTCCTTAAAAGACATGACTTACATACAGTGCGTGATAGACGGTAAGAAAATCAAAATTCTGAGCACGGTCAAAATTTTATGTGAGATCAACCTTAAAATGTATCCAATGCAGGTCAATTTTCTAAAATTGTACAGGAGAGGTCCCTCAAAATCTATCTCTATAGTAAAAAGTCCCAGAATTCCTCTAGGAAAATAGAGACCAAAAGCCATCCCCAGAAAAGTGCTCGATATTGCTCTGGCTACATCTATTACAAAGACCGCTTATAATTAAATATTTTTCTATTCGAAAGAAAATCATTGATACCAACTGGAACTCATGGACTTCATTAAAAATGTTGTTTGTATTTTTGTATTTCGATGGCTCAAGTACGAAACCACGCATCTTCATTGCGGTATTTCAAAATCTCTGCTATTATTTTATGTTTTCGAGGAAAAACAAGTCATCTGTACGGCTTGAAATTTATCCAAAATTTTCTGCTAATAGAGAAAACAAATCGAGGAAGTTCCCAAGAAATTAAGTTGACTTTTCCACACAAAAAAAAAATAAATAAATAAAAGTAAAGTATGACAGGAAATCTGCGACATCACATATGAAGATGCGTGGTTTCGCACTTTGGTCATCAATTTTTGATTTATTTTTCATAAAAGTTGATATAATATCCATGATAAAAAAAGAACAGAGGACAGATTATACTAAAACGGAACTACATCTTGAAAAAGCGCTGCATCTCAAAAGTTTCCATGACTCAAAAGATTAACCATGTTGATTTAATTCACAGAGACTCTTCGTGTGTATCCGAATGTGGGTTGGTTGGAGCGAGTATGCCAGGAACCATACGAGTTGCCTGACGGATCATATACGATCAAGAAAAATGCGCGGTTGCTGCTCCCAATTTACGCTTTTCACATGGATCCAAAATATTTTCCGAACCCTGAACGCTTTGACCCGGATCGATTCAGTGATGAAAACAAGAATAAGATAGTTCCAGGCACCTACTTCCCATTCGGTGATGGACCACGGTCATGTATAGGTAAGAGAAGGAGCCTCGTTCACATATAGTACTGCTGTACTATCCATGATCCATGGATTCTGCCTCATCGGGCTCTGAACTAACTGTAGAATGATGCATATTTCTAAGTGGACTTCTTTTTAATTCTTCCGTGAAAACAAATATGCTATGTCCATGAAATGGCCTCGCTAAACTTATCATTTTCAGGTCGGAAAGTATTGGGCATGCGGTCCGCATTTTAAAAGGGCAACTTTTTTATACATTTTAGCAATCAAAGTGTTTTCCGGAAAATTGACAATTTTATATGCAATAAAAATCAGTAATAGTTAACTTCATCGGCAAAAACGGGGAAGCCGGAAGTGAACAAAACATCCTCAGTATGTGTCTTATACAACGCAAAACTAGGCCAACTGCATGAAAACGTTTGAATGCAACTATTTGAGCTCCATGGATGTGCGTATGCAACACGCAATTATTGAGGTCTCCCCGACAGCAAGCACATTTAATGCATATCCTCTAAATCCACATTCTACTTAATGAGCATGCATTTCTTTTTCTTTTTATCTTCTTTTTTCTCTTTTTTTAAGATTCGTTTAAATTCTTAGTTATTGTAATTCTTCCAGGACTGCGGTTTGCTCGTATGGAAATGAAAGCGGCCATCGCCTCTTTGATAATGCGTTATGATATCGAACCATCGCAAAAAACGGATGTTCCGGTGCAGTTCGCCCCTACGAGTATGTTGATATCCGCCTCGAATGGAATCTGGCTCAAGTGGAAGAAACGCAACGTATAATCTGCGGTCTACTCGCAAAAAAGAAATACAAATGGTGAGCTTTGCGACAAAATAATCCATGGTAAAAAGCGCGTTCTGAGAACAATGCCTTTTTGAAGTTTTCACTGTCAATTTCTGGCCACTGACTGTGAATGACTCACATCGGAAATTGGACGCTTGGATCAAAGTCAAAGACTATTGACTGAATAAACGACCATTGGTAAAACTGCAAATGCATTTTTCTCAGAACGTGATTTTTGCCGTGGGCCCTTTTCCGGAAAGCTCATCCTAAAGCTCCTAAAGCTTTGGAAGTGCTAAAAATGCCAATGAATGAAAGTTGAACCCGATCTATTCGGCTAAAACTTCTGTCGGCTGTTATATATACTGCCAATATCTAAAATAAATGCAGAACTCACATTTGTGCATGCATGGGCTTTCAAATAATGATGATCATGGTTTTAAATTAAAAATGATAGTAAAGGAAATATTTTCATTTATACTAAGGTTAATGGAATATTTGCCGTATTAACACAATATTTTTCAAATGTGTAAATAAATGACTTCTTATGACTGTAACGTTTATATTGTTTATTATTAGACTGCATGATACCAAAAGACATGACGTCACTGAAAAGGACACCGAAGTTGAAACTGCAAAAACGCGTATCTCGGTTTGCAACGCTGCAGACTTCCTGTTAGTTATAATATTTTCTTCTAGAGAAAAATATATGACTATTGTTTTTTAAAGTCGTGCTTGTTTTCACTTTTCAGCGAGAAGCATATTCTATGAAAAATTCAAGCAATAGTGTTGGTTTATCCTCCTTTGATAAAATAAAACGGAAACGAAGATTCTGAAACATTGAATACGAGATATTAAATATGACTGAAAAGAAAATGAATCAATACTATAGACATAAAAATAGTAGGGAGTGCTAGGGTTGAAGTATTTTGAAGAGGGCAACCAACCTGAGATCAGCTACTTAATTTTAAAAAAATTTTATTCAGCAAAAAGGAAGGAAAACATCAGAAAATGCAGGAATTCTACACAATTTTTGTCAGAAAGGTTGTAATTGTTCAGCCAACCTGCGTAAGATTCCAATCAAAAACTGAGAATCTCACTACAGTGGGCACAAACTCATTCGAGCACAATATTTTTCCTCAAAGAGATTCGCTGTTCGGTGCAACACTAGTTACGACTATTCAATTTTTGTCCAACTGAAACCGCGAGAGCTCCCAAATATCTTTTTGCAGATTGTGCGGTCCGATGCGATGCGTCACTCAGAATATTTAAATGAACTTGTTTAATACGATTGAAGTATAATTTTGTCTCTCTCAAAAACTGAGGCATTGAGTTTATGTTTAAGGCAATGAGCCCGACCTCCCTTTACGTACTTTTTCAATAAGTCAAAATCTTTTGAGGACCATACTTCTCGAACAAATAATAGGTATTCTGTAGCCACGGACCAAAATTAAACATTGTGAGGGCTATTTACAGGCACAACGTATTACTGGTACGAGCGAAAAATTGCCTTCATCATTTTGGGTATGCAACCCCCTGACGATTGTGTCTCAATAGTTATCGCTCAAACCATCGAGGGCGCTTCTCACCGCTTAGAGGAGAGTTTAAAAAAATGATATATTATTAAAACGCTAAAATATATTAAACCATTGTTCTCAATTTAAAGTTTGCTTATTAAAAATAATGCTTGAAACAGATGGTTTTTTGATGATATCAATACAACTTAACGCCCTCTTTTAGCCTACACAATACCCATTGATTGGCTTATTAGAAAATGCTTCCCAGGAAAATCTCAGAAATTTACATCATTACACCCAATGTGACAAACATGGTCCCTTCATGATTGGGGTACTTTTAGGACTTTGAAATAGACGCTTAGACGCAAAAGTGAGGACATTGACAAAATCTACCGTTCTATACTTTCATGCATGTCGTCAGGACATTCAATCACGCAACATAACCAATGGTGATCCAGTTGGAGTGCAATGTCTCCGGAGACTTGTCTCCTGTTCCTTTTGTCTTAGAATTGCGCGGAGGTGACCGGCGCACAGTGATAAGCGTCAATTGGAAAGGTCGGACATAGTGTTGACACCTAAAACTCTAATATCTTTGTTAATACAAAACGAAGAGATTTAAAAGTAGCTCCATTGATTTTTCCTTAAAATTGCCTCACGGAACCTCCCATTAATATATGTTAGAATAAAAATTCAAATTTACAGTAATAGTAAGAAATTTCATGCCCGGCGCACTGGAAAAAAAAAAACACATTGGATCTAGAGTCCAGACTCTTGAAAACATTGACCAGAAAAAGGACTCTTGATTCAATCAGATTCAAGCTTAAATCAAAAGGAAATCCGCTCAAATTAAGAGGCTTGGTTCTTGATTTAAGCTTAAATCTGATTGAATCAAGAGTATTTTTTCTTGTCGGTGTTTTTAAGAGTCTGGACTTTAGATCCAATGTGTTTTTTTTTTTTTTTCCAGTGCGTCTTCGAATAGCTCATCATTGTGCGGCGCAAGGTGCAACGGCCTCGTGGTATTGTTTCGAGAAAAAACTAACGTTCGGTAAACTAATTAACACCTCCCTGAAAATAGAGCAAGTTTCACAGCTCTGGGCGGTCAGTCAGTCAAAGCCTCTTACCCTAACCATGCGGTTTTGTATCGAAATTTCCGTGATTTCCGCCCCCTTCCTGTCAGGACTACGAGTATCATGACACAACATGAACGGATACCTCACTTTCTGCGTCATATTGGGGTGTATTTTCGTTGTGGTTCTTCAGTTCCTACTCAGCCCCGTTGAAGATCTATCTGAGACTGCTCTTACAGCAGATCAGCCTGGGAAAGCTGACACTCGGCAGCCGAAACGGCGAGTGAAAAGGTACCTAAATCTACCCGAGGGAGCTTCAGTTCAGGTGAGTGTGGTGTTCTGTAAACGTTATCTTCTAGGACTTAGTATGGAATACTTAAAATATACATTCAGCGATCAGGGACTTCATTTGGAGAAGGTAGAGAAAGATAATTGGACCGCGTTTAGGAAAGGAACCAAGCCAAATCAGCTATTGCCAAATTTAACTGGACAATTTAATTCTTTACGAGAGATTTGTGTGCGGATTCCTTTGAAAATTTATAGAAATTTGCTTCGTACTATGGGGAAAATTCGCACAAACGTTTTCATATAAAAAGTTGGATTTTCCAAATAAATTTTGCATTAGCGGATGTGGCTTGGTTCCTTTCTGTTTAGCGCGGTCCGATTGCCTCCACAGTTTCATTTAAAATTGCACCCTTTTTCGGTCAATCCTATTTATTCGATTGATTTTGGTAATATCTGGTCGATTTTAGGACATTTTTAAATATTTCTTAGAATTTTCCCTTACCCCTCCCAAAAAATGTGCCTTTTCTCAACAATTTGTGTTTCCGATGAAGTTAGTTTCAAATGGACGTTGGTATTCATGCTGAAAGTAACTATTTTACTCGCAATCCCTCGATGATATAAATTTGGGTCCTTTATTGTGAGGAGAAATATAAAAGTCAGAGAAAAACCAAAATTTTTAATTGGAGTTATATTGAGCTCCAATCTTGCCGTCGAAACTACTTTTCGCTACGTTGGCATGATGAGACAAGACATAGCTTTAGCTCTGCCACGTACTTTATCGAATTCCGATGTCATTTTATTGCAGACANTTCAAAAACGGTGCGTATACTCAATCTGAAATTTTATTATGTGTAAAGGGTCACCCTATAGATGAAAAAATACCTCACACCGACCCCAATTTCGAGGGCCCGAAAACGGGCGAATTTTAGCCCTTTTTGTGCAAGGCTCTTTTATATTATGTATTTAAGATCCGTTAATTTGATTGTTATTCAGCTGGTGTACTGTTTTTTAATGACGATACTTGGTTCTAACCAACAACTGACCTTTGGTATAAGTTTGGGTATAGCATATGAAGTGCCTTCAAATATTGGGAATATCCTTGCTGGTACCAGAACGCAGCACAGGCGTGACAAACGCTCTCTTTATCCAAAAATTGCTGTTTTTATTGATAAGTGAGTACATTCAAAAAGTACGATATTACTTTACCGCAAATTAAAAAATCAATTTTGGGGTACGTGTTAAGTTGGAAAACCCTAGGCAATTTGACATAAAATGACTATTGATTGACTTACTTACTTTCTTTTTCGCCCGATGAATTTTTCGGTTGTCACTATTTAAACTTAAACCCTGGCCATTTCGACTTCTGTGGAAGTCATCATCAGGTAATTAATAACTAACAACGAAAATAAAAACAAAAACCGAAGCTAAAAACTGACGTTAAAATTCCACGTATTATCGCCGGCGACGCGTCGCGATACTAGTCAGTGCGATATCTTGCCGGTGATCAGCTGACTGTGTTGCGTCACGAAGGAGGGCGGGGGGGACGAACCGAAAAATTCATCGGGCGAAAAAGAAAGTAAGTAAGTCAATCACATAGTCCCTGATAAAGAAAACAAAGGATTAGTAAAATGACTATGCTTACCCGTCAAATATTTTTAAAATAAGATTCATGTTTATCAACGAGGCAAGCCACATGATTCACTCACATGTTTTTTAGGAGCAAAGATGGCTGTACTTAATATTGATGCGAGTTCTCTGCAAGACTTTTAAAATTGATGTTTGAATCGCCTCGAACGAATGTTTTAAAAATATCATGAAATTGGTAGAACCTGCGAATTAGGGTCAAGTGAAAAACACAAAATCATGTGCGATGGCACAGTATGAGCTCTGAATTGGTGTTTCAACAGTTGCCTATACTAGCGAGTGCAGGCAATCTGAACGTGGAACGGAAATCGAAAGACGTTAGTCTAACAACGACAAACAAACACTGCCCTCCGACCTCTAAATTGATTCAATTCCTCAAATATTCTTCTAAAAGAAAGATAAATGAATCATTAAAGATTTAAATGAAAATTGTATTGAAAAATAATTTCTAGAGTCTCGAACGAATCGATGTCAATTAAACAGTTGCCGTTTTAAAACTGTGGTAGCAATCCATTGAACTTATTCTTGAGTACTGTTCTTATGTACGTTCGATACTTAAATCAAAAATCATGCCACAGGCATTTAAAAAAGAGCGGAAAAATACATGCACGAAAGAACCCAAAGAAAACCGCACATTGCACATACTTAACAAAGATACAAGTAGCACACGTGACATTAACATTAATTTTCTTTTCTTTTCGTAGGCTAGGCTACGACGGAGAAAATTGTGTTAACCGTTTTCTATGTGAGACAAGACTGAAGGAAGACAAAAATTTGACACTGATAGAAAAATTGTTTCAAGTAATCTTTACGTGAGCTATATTTCTTCTCTCATTTTTAATTTTCAATTACACTCTGATATAATTATTCCGGATCTCTCTGCTCTGTTCATGACACACTATACTAAACGATACTCACAAACATCACATTGCATTTGATTTAAAATGAGATCCTATCTTTTAATGCGAAAATTCTGTTAATATCAGGTAAAACTCATGTCGTTCCAATATGACATAGTCTTATTGACTCCAACTGTTTTGCGTGTTCATTCAACGGATCGATGATAGATGAAGTCATTTTTGTGTGAATATTTTTTTGCTACTTCAAAATAACTCCTATTCACATTCTAAGAAAAAATTCCACTCAGCTTTCACTACTTTCTTTAAAAGGATAAATATGCGATGAAAATGTAGTAATGTTGCTAATACGATCATTTCTAGTTCCATTGTGATACATACGGATCAAATTCTCTCCGGTGAAACAGATCAGTAGCGATGGTCAAAGATTCATGTTTTAAAGTTGGATTTTTGACGTCATCCACCGCGGTAGTGATACCCTTAGTTTTTTCCACACACGATTCTGTGACCAGCGCAACTGACCCATTAACTGAGGTAGAACATTGGCAATCCTTTACATTTTTCCTAGCTTGAAATTATTTTCTTTATTTTGCAGGTATCAGAAAGGAGAAGCATACGAACCCGTTGATAAATATGATACTGCTCATTCACAAGAAAATTGCTCTCAATATACGGACGTTTGTCCAATAACTATATTTTTACCAAAGCAACTTTTCGGTTGAGGTCCATTTCGTGTTCTTTACAGATATTACTGCAGGTGAATTATTCAATTGTAAAGCTTACTTTTCATTTTTGTGGATGAGAAATAATGTAAATAAAATTAGTTGATGTTTTGTCATTCAAATTTTCGTAATTTTCCTGAAGTTCTATTGAATCTGAACTTATTATACAGTCCAAATAAGGTAAGAATGTGGCAAGTTTTACTTGCGTGTAGGATGTCCAAAAGTTGCAATAAAACCTTGTGCGTTTGGGGTAAGGATGAAACCAAGTAAATCGATCAGAATCTTCATGTCGAAGAAGCATTTATGTATGACGTGGTGTGGAACGATGATACGGTTATGGCTAAGAAATTAACAACGCCTTCATTTCAGTGTGACGCAATTTATAGAACACTGACATTGCGTTTGGTAGTCAGTATATAGGTTTTCAGAATTTTGCCTCTCACTTTATTCTTTGAGAAATCACTTTGTTAGGCACTACCTACACGGTTATCTTGTTTCTTTTCTTTATTTCTTTTAAATTCTTAAAAAAACTATGTACTAGAATTTAAAACTAAATAGAACGAGGATAATCAGTTATCCCTTAAATATAAAAATTTCGACAGGGAATCCTCACCTCCAACCAACCAACAATGGTTCAACAATGGTTATTCCTGTTTCTTTAATTGCGAATAATGTTACGTCAACTTGCCTCTATCTCACTTTCCATCAACTTTTCTGTGCCAAAAATAAAAAAAATAAACGATAGTAATCATTCATAAAAATTCATTTATTCCCATGACGGAAGCATCGATTTGCATAGACGTCTTCAAATTCATTTGTGAAACCTACGTAAAAATGAGTTGAAGTTGAAATGGACATTGGCATCGTTGTTTAAATTGTGTGTAAGGTCTATCATTTTAATGGTGGGAAAAACTCTCCTAATTTAGAGTAGTTCATGTTGTCCACCGTCGGTGGACAGACTGTTGGACTCGTGGGATTTTCCGGGTGCTTAGCCACCGGGACGTCGTCACAAGTGACGTAAACAATCAACTTTTCGGCATACTGTTGAGTGTGCGATGATCACCTCCTTGGCTCCACTGTGCATCATTAAAATTCGCAATGAAAACTATTTAAAAACAAGCAACTATTTCAAACACAAGACAAAATGTAAACACAAGGACGAACCTAATTGAAATGGAAATGTGTGAAATCATCTGAAGAGCAAGAAAATAGCTTTTGTTTCGCATTACTTAAAGTCCGTTGGTTCAAGAAATACACATAAAAAAGACGTAAATCAAAGTGAACACTGAGGATCAAAGTATGTTCGGAAAATTCCCCGAGTCAGGTTTTGCAAAATTGTTTTTCCTTCATTGATACAATGTATTCGGACGTGTTTCTGCCAAACAGAACTATATGCATCAAGACATGAGCCCTGAGAGGCCCATAAGGATATATGCGTAACAGGGCTCACGTCATAATGCACACAGTTCCGTTTGACAGAAATGCGTCCATTTGTCGCCTCGCGAGTAAAAAATTCGTACATCGGAAAAAATCTTTCAATCATAAAAAAAAAGGTTTACGGTGGTGAGATGGACTTCAGTTTCTCAACGCTTGCATAGAAGTACAAATGTAAGGTTTCGATCATGCTTAGTGGTCCATTTTACATCATAAGAATACAAGTTTGTAGTCATGTGGTGTAAGTTTTGGCTGAGCAAGACGAGACAGCAAAACGCACCAGGCTCCGTATTAAACGCCTTTTAATTCCGCATGAAAAAGTACCAACAACCAGTACCAGTACCAGTTTGTCGTAACAATTTTTTTTCACTCGGCGTTTTCTAGAATGAAATCAATATCTGTCACACACAGTTTTGTCGATCCACGCATTATTTATCAAATTGCGTAAAACAACCTTTACATTCAAGGACTTAATGATGTTTGCTATTTTTTTTTTTTTTTTTTTTTTTTTTTTTTTTGCCTTAAAGCAATCTCAAGTTAGCGGTATTATTTTTGCACCGAAATTAATTAGGGAACTGCCACTAATTTGAGAGTTTTCTAAACCAGCGTGCCATGAACAGGAAGTTGAATGTGGCAGCCGATTTGTTCTGCGTTCTAAGCATCACACATTTATTCTTTTATTTTTGAGGTTCCAAAAGAAAGAGACATTGGCATCATCCCCATAACAACCCCTCATAAAAGGTAGAAATTTTAGGTCTCCCTGTGACACGTTTAAAAAGAGTTACGAGACGTAACGCAATATTATCCCTGCACCGAATACTAATATCATTAATAATTTTTGAGATAGTAGACAAAAGTAAGGAGAAGAAAAAATGCTCGAAACCCTAGCGTAGGGGTATGGCGAGCGCCCCCCTGTCTTAACTCTCCCCATAAACGTCCTATTACTGCAAAGCGTTAATTCTTTTTTGTGATTTGAACAACTGTTTGAACTGCAAATTCTCTCCGTTCGTAAATTATCTTTTACGTTTCGAATCTTGCGGCGTGCTCCTGCTCTTTGTTCTCATCAATGCGATGATGAGATCTGCGAGCTTTTGTAGTGAACTCATTAATTTTGACGCCGGGTTTGCATGACGGCTTTGCACGTATTGTCGGCGTCGTGATGGACGTGAGAAGATGCACGCCTACGGTGAGCATCGATCTATTCAACGCTGAAAATTAAAATAATAATGCCCACTCGAAATGAATACGGTATAGATTTCGCGCGGATTGCTATAAGACCGTCCCGGCTAGGATGTCCAATTCAACGGAATTATTAGCGCGATGATGAGCCATTTTCAAACTCACTGAGGATCTTTTCGGAAAATAAAACTGCACTGGAAAAAAAACATATTGGATCTAGAGTCCAGACTCTTGAAAACATTGACAAGAAAAAATACTCTTGATTCAATCGGATTTTTGTTTGAATCAAAACGAAATCCGCTTGAATTAAGAGGCTTGGCTCTTGATGTGAGCTAGATTCGGATTGAATCAAGAGTACTTTTTCTTGTCCATGTTCTTAAGAGTCTGGACTCTAGATCCAATGTGTTTTTTTCCAGTGTGGCCTGACATTCCCCCCCCCCCGATTTTTCTAGAAATAACAGAGAAAGCTTTTAAAGTAGCTGAAATAAAATTTTGTAATTTCATGTATCCAGGCTAATCTTGTCAAGTCATACCTAATAGATGCAGTAATGCAGAATTACAAGAAATTAGCTGAAATTGTCATTTTATTGGAGAATATTATTATTTGTTTTTTTCTGACCTTTATAAGAGAGCTTTCATTAATTACTTAAGGCGCTAAGAGGGAAGGAATATTGAGCCTGCGTTACGCTGCGTTACAGGGAGGGGAGAAAGTCATTGCCATCGTTACGCACCAAGCAACCCTCTTTACTCATAAAAAATAAACGAATTCCAGAATGTGTCATGCTCAACCATTCGACGTGGTTTCTCACACTATCATTAAAAATACTTCAAATTTTATCGAGTTATACATTCAACGTTTTATGACAACTTTTGGGATCTTAAGGAGAGGGAGTTGTCAAGCGTTGCTTAATTTTTAAGGGGGGTCCAAGGCTACGTGACGAAGCAGTGTAAGGGGGATGGAGGATCAAAATCCCGAAAAAGTGCGTGACATAATTTATGGACACTCTCTAAAGTGGAAGACTTACTCAAGACTAGGCTTGACCACTTTTTCCTATTAAAGCCCTGCAAGGCAAGTACCGATTCCCACCCTTCACCCCTTAGGTTCCTCACTGAGAAGTTCCTTAGTCAACGCAACGCACCATTAAAATCTCTGATTCAACGTAAAAATAATTGAGCTCTTGTAGTGAATGGTAATTTGGGTGTAGCACCTGAACTGTATTGCCTCTGTGCCGGTTGACGAAACTCCAAGGTTTGTTATTGTTCTACAACAGATGTTAAACAGTTAAACACCCTGTCCTGACCACTTTGGCGTGAAAGCTGTGAAATTATTTTTTTGTCCTCATAGAATGCGTACTCGAGTTTAAGTTGAGGATGAAGACTTTTACTGCAACTCACCCACTTAAGTCATTTCTGCATATCGTAGAATCGTTAATTGATTGTTTTTTCGAAGTTGAGAAAAAAATCCTAAAATCGCCAAGTCTTTATGGGATTCTGCATTTCCACATCCATGCTCGCGTTATATTTGGGCTGAATCTTTAATCTGAAATGAATACGATAATATTGCAGATTTTTCTCTCGCTCACAAATATTTCGCCAAAAGAGGAGCAGTTGTTAACGACGCCTTTTACCAGGTTGTTGCTTTCTATGGATATTTTACTTCCAGTCTTGTGAATCACACTGTGGTTGCTACATGAGTATTATTTTTGTTGAAACTAAAGGTCCAGTTACACGATCAAATTGAGCCATCAAATTGGGCCTCTCATTGGTCGCATCCTCACCTCAGGTCTTTTTCCACCAATCAGAGCTTCAGTTCGATGGCTCAATTTGATCGTGTAACTGGACCTCAAGGCGGGAAAGCCACCGATGAAGTAGCGCTGTAGATGGCGCACTTAACCAAGTTTACCTTAAAAGGTTGTAACTGGACGTCTCTCTGTCAAACGGAACTATGTGCATTATGACGTGAGCCCAGTCATGCATATATTCTTATGGGTCTCGGGGCTCATGTCTTAATGCACATAGTTCCGTTTGGCAGAAATACGTCCAATTCGATTAACACTCGACGATTAAACTTAACATCTAAACAGATCCTGTTATTTGTATAGCTAATATGAGCATTATTTTTCAATCATAAAGAACAAACACGAAATATTCAACTCAGGAAAATCGTCTAATTTTGGATATTCAATGTCTGAGATATGACGGATGGAGTATGACCACTAGTGTAACCAAAAAACTTTCGTGGGGGAGTGAGGGTCTACGGTCAAGTATGTCTCACGGCGTGGGGAGGGGGGTGCAAAGGTGATAAATTCCATAAAATCACGAAAACTGACTTTTCGGAGGTATGTTCCAGTCATGGGGTTGAGGAGTTCTAGATTCTAGACCTACCAAATCCTCTCCTGGCATACCACTGGCCATAATTACCCGTTGAATCGTACGATTCACATAAATACATTCTTATTAATTGGGTTTTCATGAAACTGAGCATAAGCTTTTTTAGTCTGTAAGGTGA